CCACTTTAACATTTTTGAAGACTCCAGGGAAACAGAATTTCCCCGACAACGTTTATCAGATCTTTTTCCCACCACTCAATTCAAGTCCTAATACCACTTTGTTTTAACTGCATCCTACCAGGAGGCACAGGCTATCGGTTTGATTATTTAAAGTAGTGTCTGCCAGGTTCCTTCACTATAAAGTTACTTTTTCCCTTCTGTAATTAAAACTATTCTGTGAAAAGATACTAGAGATGATATAACATCTCATTCCTCATCTACTTTTCACCCATTTGTTTTAGCATCAATTAATGTTTCTTGCCTGAATTACTAAGAAGATGGTTGCCAAGTAGTGATTTTCTAATTCCATCATCCCTTCTATATTTATTAATTGGCATTCTGCTATATGATAAAGCGTTCTCATCTCCCTATAAATTGAATACATTCATGTATCTCATTATCGTCCCTGTGCAATAAATTCCTATTTTATACAGCAAGATAATCTGTTACCATCATTTTTTTTGTTTTGATTCTTACGATGTCCCAGATTTAGTTAGTAAGAGCTTCTAAAAGCTGCCTTCTATATTCTTCTGACATGTACCTATTTTTCTTTGGCCACTTCCTTACTTTCTGGCATAAGATTTCTCAGGTTCATCTTGTACTTTCTCAGTTCCAAAGCTGGAATCAACCGTTTCTCCAAGGATACCTGGTTCTACTAACAGAGAATGGTATTTATAATCCAAAATCTGGTCACTAAGTGTGCTCATTGCTACTGGGGTGTTGCTATTCCCAGGCCTTCACAGTAAGGCAGAGTAAGGAAATAAATGTATACATTTATACATCTGTTAATACACACATATTTATTTCTAGTACATCTACATCTATTTTTATTATTGAAAGTCTTGAGACACAACAATACCTCCAATTTCATTCCAGCACCACAAGGCTCATTCTACTTTTTTTCCTTTTTATATCTGTGATGCCCATCTCCATCAGTGTGATAGTTTGCTCGCATTGTTTTCAATACATTTACTTACTTTCTCAATACTCCCTTACCTCGTAAATAACAAATCTCCTGATCGTGCCAGGTGACTACCTGATACTCTCCAGGCCAATTGGATTTCAGGGTTGCAGAGTGGCTGGAAGGTGTGGGACAGGATACCTGGAAAAAGCCACTGTGCAGCAGCAAGTGTGTGACTGATGCGGGCTATGGGCGACCATACACTGGACATGAGTCCATCTCATAGCACCTGCCACATCAATTGGCACAAATTCAGGCCATCTAGGTAGAGGTTCTTTGAGCTAAATAAAGAAGGTGATTTTACTTGGAGTGAATCAGATTGCATTTGGAGAACTATAGTGAATTTGGTTGGCCACATCTTCAATACACAGAGATTTAAAAATTCTATGGAGATTTTATAAAGGACTTTTTATTCTGCTTTTTGGTAGTTTCGAATTTTACTCTCTTGTGAGTATGCTCAGGCCTGAACCAAGATATATGACTGCCCTGAGCAGCTTGAAACCAATAATTTTCAAGTAATTATTCTATTTAACAGCAATATATACTTCTCTATGTTGAAAATAAATTTATTGTGATGTTCCACAGCATATAATCTCTTGGAAATGAAGTTAAGCTTCTTACAATATCGACAAAATAAATCTCTTTATCCCAATAAGAAGCTACATGCCAGTTAATTATTCAGTTTCAGAATTTCTGACTGCCAAATTCTTTGATGGTTAAGTGGTTGGCCTTAGGGTTTGAGATAAGCCTTTGGGTTTAGATTATGCATCTTCCCTATGTGTGTTGCAAAAATACTCCCCTTTGGTGGGAGACAAACCATGTCACAACTAAGGAGCTATGTGTGGAAATCCATAGTAAATAGGGTTTTAGTGCTAATTTATTGTCAAGCATTCCTTATAGATTGATGCCCTGAATAAACCAACAAAATACTGAAAGTGTTACATCTTACAAAAATATGAAATAGTTGTGGAATGTAAGTCATCACTACCATTTCCATCTTAAGTCTTCCTATTATTTGATTAAAATATCATTATCCAAGACTCTAATGAAATGATTTCTAGGCATGGTTTTATAAGGCCTCAAAACATCTTCAATCATATTTAAAGGTAGCATAAACTTATACTACTAAATCATCTGGACACAGGATTCATTTTAATTTAAAGTAGTTTTTGAAACACCATATTGTGTGCAACACTTTATAAGCTTCTCAAATGATAAGATGTTAGAAATAAACAAGTTAAGTAAGAAATACACTAGCAAGTAAGTAAATAAGATACCCAGGTAGAAAAAAAATAGGATACAAGTATCCTCAATAATAGTATGTGTGACCTTTGCTATAGTTTTAAAATAACATTCACGTGCTCTCTTTGAGATGCCTCATTCCAATACGTTTTTTTGTTGTTGTTTTTTAAAAAGCATTCCAAATTTACAAAATCTGTACAGGGGACATAATGTCAGGTCTTGTATATTTTCAAAACAAAAGTAAACTTATTTCACCAACTCCACTACCTCAGCACAAACACAAAAAATGACAACAAAGCACAGATAATAAAACTAGGAGACAGCTAACCATTTCAATGAGTGATTGAGAAAAGGAGATTTTAGCTTATGTCACTGTTTCTTAACATGTGTTTCAGGAATTAAATACTAATAATTTGTGCCTCTTACTATATTTGGATTCCGGGCTCCCCCTCTGGTTTCCAGAACCATTGACCAAAGCGCTAGGAGCACTGGAGAATGTTAGATCAGCAATATCTGTGTTACACCAGTTTCACTGGTTTTCTAGAATAGGAAGAAATAGGCAACTACAAGCTGGTGAGATTGTTCAATTTTATGAAGTATGTGTAATTCTACTCTCAAAACCAAGCTCTATAAAGATCAAAATTATTGTATAAAGACCTGCTTTTCCTAAAAGAGAATGTATCCATTTTCTCCCTTCAATTTTTAAAGTGCACATCAATCCTTAAAAATCAACTACTTATCACTACATACGGGATATATGTAATTCGTCATCAACAAAATCTACAAAAATCAGAGCACATAATTTTTTCCTTTGAATTTATTGGGGTGACAATGGTTAACATTATATAGGTGTCAGGTGCACAATTCCTTAGCACATCATCTGCACACACACCGCATTGTGTGTTCACCACCCCAAGTCAAGTCTCCATCCATCGACATTTACCTCCGCCCCGCCCCGCATAGCTTCCTCCATCTCTCCCCAATCACCACACTGTTGTCTGTGCCCATAAAGCATATAATTTAGTCACTGTTTTGTAGTGAGGACGTCTTATGATTTTATGAGAAAATTTTGACAAAACTTAAATCTCATCAGTGCAGAACTAGCTGGCGAGCATTTTTTTTAAAAATGTGGGCTTGATAAATATGAATTGGATTTATTTCCTAATTATGTAGAAAGTTTACATACATTCCAAGCTCTATTATCACTTGGAGAAACTCTTCAGAATTTTAAAATATGTTGAGAACAGCATCTATTAAAAAAAAAAAACCAATTCAGTTATTCACCCCAGTAAATTGTACATATTCCAAGAGAGTAGAAACACTCTAAATATTTTCACTTTATCTTTCTTTTGATGTAATTAATACACTGTGCCACAAAGGGATATTTGTTAAAATATCCCTTCTATTTTTTTAAAATATGCATATGGCCTTGCCTATAGTCTCCAATTATTTCACGAAAGGTAAAGGAATCTAATAGCTCCAGCCATTCTACTTTGCTTTTGGATATGGACCTCCTTTGCTAACACTTTCAGCAGAAACTAGAATCAATTCACACAGTGTAGGGCGTTATGACTACACAACAGTGAGTTTCTGCAGAAACTATGGTCAGGCTTTCAAGACAGCACACCATTAAGGATGGATGGAAAACCAAGAAGAGATCACGAAATCTTGGTCATGTCAAATCGCTCCTCCCCAGAGAAAAGATCTATCTGATCGCACGCCCTTATCCAGTCTCCCTTTTTGTGTTGAAGCACTAGTTTGAATCATTGTTTTCTCTGCTGTTCTCACTCTCTAAGTCCTAGAAAAGCTGCTCCATTCTCGGTACCTCTCCCCACTGCTGCGCTTCAGCCCCAATCAGAGGCCAGGGACATGTAACCCCAAAGAATGGCCACAACTGCTTCTCGGGAGGAGGGCAAGTGAGGGTATGTGGACCCTCCCACAGCCCCTGGACGCCTGCAGGTGCCTAGCTAGGAGGTTCGACCTGGAGGAGAGGGGACAGTGGCGTCCCTCCCTCCTGCCTCCACATCTGCCCAGCCCCCTGGCAACCCGTGGGACACTTGGCCGGCGCAGGGCTTCTGTCTCCCATTCTCATTTTCTTGAGTCCTCCCGTTCTTCCTTGCTCCTACCGTATTTTTGTCACCAGCATTGTTGGCAAGAGAGCACAGCACAGGGCTACGTTTCCTTCCCATAAATACGCGTGTGCTTTTCCTGAACCTTCCTCCGCCCCTCTTCCCCCCTCATCCAGGTAGGGTCTGCCATGCTCTCCTCCCATCCAAACCCCACTGTCAGCGTCGCCCTTTGGCAATTTCATCCAACAAGCCCGCACCAACCCAAGCCCACTCCTTACCAGTCCCACCTTCTCCCTGTTAACCGTGTTCCTTCCGCTGCTAAGCACCTCCTCCACCTTTGCCGGTTCCACTACTGCCCACATTTTTAAAAATTCAATATGCGAGACAGCGTGAATTCCAGAAAGCGTGTGTGTGTGCGTGTCAGGGTCTTGGGCGTGACTTAGTGCTGGACACTCAGATGGCTCAAACTTCCCTGCCAGGCTGAGGCCGCCCGGCCGCGCTCACCTGTCTGCGCCCAGGTAAGCAGGGAAGTGCCAGCCTGGCTGTGTTCCAGGACACCTGGCCCGCAGGCGGCGGTATCAGTGACCTGGAGCCACAGGGGCGCCCCTCCTGCGTGTCTGTCTCTCTCCCCCGCTTCCCTCCAGGTGATCTGCTTCTGTCTGGGCACCCCTCCCTCCACAGTGCCTTACCTCAAACAGGGGGCCGATCTTGTTCTTCTCCAGGTAAGCCTGGATGCGGGATTGCTGATAGGACGCCATGGAGACAGCAGAAGCCGCGCAGAGTGCGGGCTGAACGCGCGCCTCTGCCCGGGGCTCGCCCGCCTGCTCCCCGGACTGGGGCTGGGACAGGAGCTCAGGAGCCTGGGCTCCCCGGCG